TCCATGAAAGTTGGAAACCGTGTCTAGAAGCATCATTAAACCCATAAATGCTGAGTCTGTGCCCTGGTAAGTAGCTATGCTGTAGTAGTAGCACATTAGTATGCTATGGCACACTGGCAAAGATTATATTACGCAAGTCCCCTTCAGCAGTAAATGGAAAGCTATAGGTTAACCATGTTTGGAGGGCGTTGCGGTTTTCTCCAGATCTGGAGAACAAGATGGCCACAAAGCAGTTTTCTGTACAGGTAATCCTTGACTTACAATTATTTGTTTAGTGACCATTCAAAGTTACAATGGCACTGAAAAAGTGACTTATGGCTGTTTTCACACAACCATTACAGCCACCCCGTGATCACATGATCAAAATTCAAATGCTTGGCAACTGGCTTATATTGATGATGGTTGTAGTGTTCCGGGGTCATGTGATCACCTTTTACAACCTTCTGACAAGCAAAGTCAATGGGGAAGCCAGATTCACTTAAACCAGGGGTCCCTAACACCCGGTCCGTGGCTGCGGCCTGCCAGCAACCAGTCTGCACAAACAAGTAAAATCTCATCCGGGGGATGCAGGCAGCACACAAAACCATGCACTCTCCGGTCCGCGGAAAAACCTCTCTCCACATAACTGGTCCCTGGTGCCCAAAAGGTTGGGGACCGATGACTTAAACAACTGTGTTACTAACTGCAGTGATTCACTTCACAACTGTGGCAATGAAAGACATAAAATGGAGCAAAACTCAGTTAACAATTGTCCTTCTTAGTAACAGAAATTTTGGGCTTGGCTGTAATCATAAGTCAAGGACTATCTGTATGTTTGCAGCACTGCTGATGGGGGTCATTCATAAGAGGCAGGTCACATGGTAGGAACCCAGTCCAATAATGTTAATATTTCTCAGTTACTAGGAACGTTCATGTTTCAAATACGATTTGAAGGAAATGCTCCAACCTTATGTGAAAGAAAACATCTTTCTTCTATTTGTCAAGGAGGCCCAATTTTTTTTCAGATGCTTTAATCAGGGGTCTTCAAACTTGGCAACTTTAAGACTTGTGGACTTCAACTCAGCAAGCTAGCTGAGGAATTCTGGGAGTTGAAGTCCACAAGTCTTAAAGTTGCCAAGTTTGAAGACCCCTGCTTTAAATCATTGCAGCTAGTTCAAGGGCAGGATTCTTTGGAGAGCTTCCAAGAACAGAATCTGGAAACTTCTGCCTGGAGAACTTTATCGCAGACCTGTGACCATTTGCAGTCATTCTTTTCTGGAAATTAGGAAGAAATGCAACCAAGTTTAACCCTTTGGCAGAACTCTTTGCTTCGAAGCTTGAAAAGAAACTGATCTGAAGGATTTTTCGAAAGAACAAAATGCAGTAGAGCTTGTCCCAATATGATAGCCAGAAGATGGCAGCATAAGGGAGCTTTTGAATGCCTGGCAGTGTTGATGCATGGAGGTCTAAGGAAATAAATTAAAACCAACCTGCTCAGGAGCTACCCCTGCAGCCCATCAATCATGGATCAAGCTTTTTTTTTCCCCCATTCCGTTTGATTGGGTGAAATGATGTCATTCCTCACCAGATGCAGATACTGTACAGTTCTGGTATAAATTAAGGGACTAGGTGACAGCACAGGAAAAAATGTGTTGCAGTTTGCACCTCCCTCCTTTAGCTTGTGTGCATTAGCAAAACTCTCAATTCCTGGAATAACAGCAATATTAGAAGAGCAAAGAAGACTGGGTCAATCAAGCAGAAGACTAATTATTGGATTGGTAATGGATATTAATATGGTCTCCAACAATGAGCTGCTATTTGTATTTAGACCCTAGTTCTATTGGCGTGAAAATAATCAACTCGTTCTTTGTTCAAAAGCCCTGCTTGATACCTACATTCACAAATTAGCTCTGATAGAGTAGAGGGAGGAAATGGAAGCAATGAAAGCTATTTCATCTTCCTTGCTGGGAGATGAAGGGTTATCAAGTAAAAGCTCTGTTTTTTAGGCTTATTTACATTATTGTTTTTTATAAATAACTCAAGATGGCGAACATGTTTCTCTGAAAATAAGACCTGGTCTTATTATTATTATTATTTTGCCTCCAAAAGAGGCAGCAGGTCTTACTTTCAGAGGATGTCTTAATTTTTTCCCCAACATTTGCCTTGCCTCGCCTCGCCACAACGGCACTGACAGCCCCATCCAGCAGGAACCTGCATGTCCACTGGCCCACTTCTGTGGCTGCTCGCAGCCGCTCACAGCAGGAGGCCAAGTAGCCCGCTGCACTGTGCCACTGCCATGAAGTCAGGCAGGTGGGGGAGGGGGTGCAGCTGCCCCAAGTGCCCCATGGACACCAAGACACTTTTTGCCCGGATGGAGAAATGACGGAGACTGGAAGCTTCATCTGCTTTAAAATGGGGTGATTGAAAACAGAACTGCCCCATTTGCAATCAGACAAAAGTTCCAGTCCCCCTCTGGGTGAAAAGTGTGCAGTGCATCTGGATTGCCTGCCTCCCCCTTGCCTCTGACCTTTGCGCTGGACTTATTTGCGCTGCTCCAAGGGACCGGCGGGTTGCGGCTGCTACGGGACATTGTCGGCCGCCACGCACTTGCCACTTTATGCTGGCCATGCCCACCCCCAGGGTTATTTTGGGGGTAGGTCTTATATTAGGCCCACCCGAAAAAATCAGGCTAGGGCTTATTTTCGGGGTGGGTCTTATTTTCGGGAAAACATGGTAATATTCTTTCCTCCTCCTATTTTCCCCTTAACAACAACCCTAGGGGGGGGGGTTGGGCTGAGAGAGATTTGTCCAAAATCATCCAGCCGGCTTTCCTGCCTAACACAGCACTAAAACTTAAGTCTCCTGGCACTTTAACCAAGACTAGACCAAACTGGCTCCTTCTGAATTGTTTCTCCTAACAAGACCTTCTGAGTTTTAAGAGGGGAGCCAGGATTGGCATTTAATAGTCTTTTCCCCTATTTTTTCTCTCATTGTGAGTCATATTTGTCATGTTACAGGCTTAAGAGAAGGGTTTGCTAGGCTATACACTTGCTCTGGAATCCTCTGACTAAAGAAAGGATGAGATGATGATGATGACGATGATAGCCACATGGAAAATCTATTATCTTAGGATAAAATTGTGTCAGGAAAAACAGTGCACTGTAAATTGAAAACAAATCTAGTTAACAGAAGTGTGGTCAGATCTGGAGAACAGTGCAGAAATGTTCAGGAAGTACAAAATAAGATACTTAATGAGAAATTAGAGATGGACAAGCTGATCACACCAAGCATGAACTGAATCATATTCCATGGCTCTCCGTTCATTTTGGAGTCCAGTTCAAGTGCCTCTTTTACATTTCTACCCAAGTCTTGTGGTCATCAATAAAAACCCAACTTAAATGTCGAAGTGGGCCATGAGTGGATCTTTTCAGTTCTGACTCAATGGCTGTGCTGTCATCCAAAATTTGGTTCAGCCTGGCACAGAAGCCAATCAGAGTCAGACATGAGAGACGGACTTTTGCAAAAGTATTATTTAAGCGCTTCAGCAAAAGGGTCCTGGTCCAATTTGGGAGCTGAGACCCTGAACAACAGCATAGCACGATCTTTTATACCAGTGGTTCTCAACCTGTGGGTCGGGACCCCATTTGGGGTCGAATGAACATTTCACGGGGGTCGCCAAACAACGCAGTCTGCCATTTTTTCCCCCTTTTCCTTAGCTGTTCTACTCCCTTTTATTCTATTGGCTTTTGAAAGCCAATAGAATAGACTCTCTTGAATAGAGTCTAATTCTATTGGCTTTCAAAAGCCAATAGGCATTGTCCAGGCTGTCTCTGCCCTGCTGAGCCCGCCAAAAGTCCCATTCTGCAAACGGTGCTGCACCAGTTGAGTAGTCCTCGACTTACGACCGGTTGAGTAGTCCTCGACTTACGACCAGTTGGGGGTCACGGCATTAAAAAGATTGAGAACCACTGTTTTATACAGTTGATTTCCAGAAGTAAGGAAGTAACATTTCACAAAGCTAAAAACCAAAAAAGGTTTTTTTGGAAGTTCTACCTTGCTTTTAGTCTACATGTCCATTTGTCTATGGAGTTGCACCTCGCCTGAGCTTATATGTCATTTTGCCCGTATAGAGTTATATCTTGCTTAAACTTTACGTGTCCTTCATCCCTACTTGGGCTTCTGCAGCTTATGTTCTTGTTGCCAAGTCTTGTAACTACCTATCTATTTCTAAGTACGTGTTGTTATGTTTCCTTCATCTCTAACTGACACATTGGACAGTTGCATTCTTCTAAATTTTTATTCCTTCCTGAGATGGAGGTGTATGGTTTCTTAATGAGTGATCCATCAATGCAAGGCATACTCATTCGCCAGCCCTTACATACCCTGACCTTGCGCTGCATGTGCTGTTTTAAGTCAGTTTACTGTTTTAGCTGCTCTTGTATTCACAATTTTGCTGTTTTTTATTATTTGCTTTTGCAGCATCACACCCTGACAACAATTCTTATACAGCGGCTAACACATTTTGGGGAGGGGACAATAAAATAATTACAGAATCTACTTCACAGAACATAATGTGTATCCATAGCAGAGCAAAACCTGTTCTGATCTTCTTGGATATAACTGTAGTGCCATGGGTTTAATAATGGATCGTGTTAGTTTTCAGACCAGTTCAAAATAAATATCATAGAATTCAGCTCCCCCTGACTGAAAGGGAAGCAGCCAGGAACGTATGGAAGGGGAAACTGAGGAAACTTTGTGATCTTTAAGAGTTGACACCAACTTGATGGCAACTAGTCAATGCAGCAAATGAAATTTGTGGAATCTCTCAAGATGCTCCTTTTTTCTTGCAACCCCTCTTTGTGCCTGCAGCCTAATAGCTGGGCTACAGATTTAGTGCTTTTATTTATTTATTTATTTATTTATTTATTTATTTATTTATGAGACTTATATACCGCTTTAAGTACAAGCACTCTCTAAGCGGTGTACACCAGTAAGCAATGTATATATATATTTACATTGCCCCCCACAATCTGGGTCCTCATTTTACCTATCCCAGAAGGATGGAAGGCTGAGTCAACCTTGAGCCGGTGAGATTTGAATCGCTTATTAGAATGCTAGACCTGATTTCAAAAACAGCTAATAGGTCATAGGCATGGAGCACTTCTGTGCCAGCAAAGTAGCTTAACCCATCTTTTATAAGGACATAACCACACACTAGATATTAAGAAAAGGGGTGTTTTCTTCTGCTGGCATGTGAGGCTTGGTGGAAGGAGTAATGCCAAAGGGAGCCACCAGCTGCTTAACTTGTTCCATATTAACTTTATAAAGATAGGCACCAGTCACTGGCCTCATTTCTGTGTCAGAATAGGGATTAGCAGCAATAAGGGCAGCACAGTTTATGCTGGCATACTTTTCTGCCAACTCATTGATTGGAGGATAGCAATTTAATATTGTCACCTGGCTGTGCTCTAAAACACTTCCTTCTCCATGACGCTCTTGTACGATCGCAATCTGGATCAGCTTGAGCTGGTTGCCATGGTTCTAACTTAACAAAAATGAGAGTAGATTCAGGAGTTAGTCCTGTATATCAATTGTAAGCCCATTTTCACCTTGGGATATGCAAAGCCAGACAGATTCTTAAAGGCTTTATAGAGATTTGCTAGGGTTTGTCTCCAGTCTCCCGTATGTACAGTGGGATAAGTTCAGTCGTTATGAGATCTTCAACCTCTGCATCTCCCAGGATACATATAGCTGTAGATTAATATGTTTTTTTTTAAAAAAGAAATCTGGCAAGGATAAGAAAAATGAAGATGTGATCGTATCAGCGTGATTTCTACCCTGCTAATTTAAAACTGGCAAGATTTTCTTTCTGCAAGATGTTTTGAAAAGCTTTCTGAAGAAAACTCTCAACCCTAACTTTCACATCCATGGCTCCAGTGCCACAAATATCTGACAGGAAAAATCTTCTTTCCATTTGCAGTTGTTGGAAAAATGGACTTTAAACTCAAAGTGCTGTTGTGCTGATCGACACGGAACGAAGGAGGGACACAAATTCCATCTATAATAGGCATAACCCGAGAGACTTTTTGTGGAGTTCTTCATGAGCTCAACAAATCATTTTTGTTTGGAGTTTCCTTATGAGAACCTGTTCTGTGGTGATGCCTTCATTTTTAATTCCAGCATGACAGCCTTTAATTATTAGGAAGCACATTCTGCAAGGAACGGAGTATCTGTTAAAAAGGTTTTTTGCTTTGTGTTTTTTTTTTTTGTGACAGTACCAGATGATCAGAAGTTTTTCAGCCATGTTATAATTCTTCAAGAAAGAATAGAAAAACGGATTGCATAGTGAAGTCGTATGCCAATAGTAGGACAGTACAGGAAATTTGTTCAAGAGAAAGCTCTGCCATTCGCATTGCTCAGATAACTAAGAAAAAAACTGTAGATTTTAAAGAAGAGTTTCTATCAAGAAAATACTTGGATGTGTACCCTGTTCAATTTGTTTTGAATCCTGGTTTCATCAACCAGGGCTTCTTGCTGGAATGAAATTCTTCAGAATTTGTTTCAACTTCCTTTGATTTTCTTGCCTTCCACTGCAAAAGAAGGTGTCATTGTTGAAACACAGACGCCAGGAAACTTTTGCACATCAAAAATACGATGATTTCCAGGATGGGCTGTTCTTCTGGAAGAAAAGGAAGAGTTGTTGCTTTGATCAGTGCTGGGGCAGTGATTTCTGGTTGCATAGCTCTCTTAGTGTGGCTCGCAGTCAGAAAACAATTTCTGGAAGGTACAAACGCCAAGCCAAACAAAGCGCTTTTGAATTGGGAGCCAGTGTTTTCCGCGAGGGTGCAATTGCAGGGTTAGGATTTCATATTATTATTCATATTTGGATTATATTGGTAATTGACAGCTGTGCTGGAGTTTGGTTTATTTTAAACATTACCTGACTTTTACTTTAATTCTTTAGGTTCTTTACAGTATTACTGTATGCACGGTGTTTTTTGTTATTGCAAATTGCCAGAGTCAAACCCGTTTTTTCAGCAGGTTATAAAAGACATTTTTAAAAATTACATTTTTTTTAACATGTCAACCCTACAAAAACAATGTCAGGGAACCATTCCAAGTTTTTTCCTGACAAAATCTTGGCACATAAGAATCAGTTGTGCCAATAAAGAGCAATGAAATACATACCTGTAATAATTTTTACATTCTTCATTCTGTAACAAATTATGTATAGATAGGAATACAGATAAAATAACTGTACAATGTTAACTTTGTGAAGATTTGTTTTCAAAGACTCAGTTCGGGTGTTGGGGATTCTCCCCCCCCCCCACCCCCATTTACTCTCTTACGCATTTCATTTATTTTTTTTCTAATGCTGGTATTAGAGATTTATACTTTTACTTTGAATCCCACCATTTTTATTAACTGTTGAATTGTTTTAATTTGCATCTTGTTCAGAGCCTGTGTGTCAAGTTTTCTATTTCACAAAACATTTTGGTTAGCAGATGATTCTAAGAAAGAATTCTGTATGCTATGAATGCTTGCCCATTGTGTACTGGACTGAGCTATTGCTATAATGAAAGATGCCATTTAACTTTAGATCTGTCGTAAAATATTCCTACAAGGTATCGTTTAAAAGTATGTCCCACTGTGAAAGGAGGCTTATTTCAGTTTAATGGTAAAGCCTCATAGAGTTTCTCCTGGAGCTGAATTCATGAAGAAAATAACCTATAACTGTAGAAAGTGCTTGTTGGTAGGATATACAGACAGACTCAGATATCAGCCATGGAGAACGATACACAATGAAAGTGATTCCAGATGGAGGGGTCCCCTCAGAAAATATGTGAACAATTCCATCTTTTCCTCCTTAAAATATTTTATCTGGAAACCAAAATAAGGGGGGGGGGGAGAAACTGTAGGTAAAGATTGGAGGATTTCACATGAAGGACATAACCATCTGGATCTGATAACATTTGGCAAATATAGCAAAGTGATTGCATGCAAACATCATACTAACTTACAATGCTCCATCTGAGTTCCTTCTTTTCTTTCTCAGTCAGTTCAGTTTGCATTGCACTTTGGGCAATCTTTGCAGTCTGAGTATAGAAGAAACTAAACCCAAGCTAACATTAGAATTCAAACATAAGTCCACTTAAGCCAGGTAATATTTCCGTTGTTAGTCCAGCTTTGTAATTTCTTCATGCATTTGAAATACATAAGACTAAATGTAGGCTTGTTTCCAGAAATATATCTTACATGGGAAGAAAAAGTGTCTTCTTACCTGACTGAAGAGAACTAAATGTGTTCCTATAACAAAGATAAGAAACTTCAGGTAGTCCTCAACTTACAATTGAGCCCAAAATTTATGTTGTTAAGTGAGACAGTTGTTAAGTGAGTTTTTCCCCATTTTATGACCTTTCTTGCCACAGTTATTAAGTGAATCACTGCCGTTGTTAAGTTAGTGACACAGTTGTTTAAGTGAATCTGGCTTTCCCTTTGACTTTACTTGTTAGAAGATCACAAAAGGTGATCACATGACCCCAGAACACTGCAACTGTCATAAATACCAAGAGTCCAAATTTTGATCATGGGACCACGGGGATACTGCAATGGTCATAAGTGTGGAAAATGGTCATAAGTCACTTTTTTCAGAATTGTTATAACTTTGAATGGTCACTAAACAATAGGTTGTAAATCAAGGACTATCTGTATGTGTTAATAGATCCCAAATATTGATGATACCCCAGAGATGGTAGTATTCCTTAAATCTTCCTCATCTTGGTCTAGACATTAGTATGAATTGCACATATTTATTTCTTGTACAATGTCCTGATTGAATCTTTCAGACACGGAACCAAGGCCATCCTTTCATTCAGGTGGAGATGTATTAGATTATTTGCTTAATCTGAAGAGAATAGATAAAAAAGATGGATTGTTGGTCACCTGGTATCATGCTGCAAATAGTAAGAAAGACATGGAAGAGGCCTTAAAAGGTAAGATCTGTGTTTTCTTTCTAGATTGGACATACATAGCAAAGAGCATCATGATCAAAAGTAAATCCCACTTAACGAAATACATACTCTATGGGTACAAATTTGCAGCCTAGATGTATTAGAGTAAGATGTATTAGAATAACCTTGAATTTCTTTTAAAAACAAGGACCACCACACAAAAAAGTCTCAGTACAGAAAAATAAATCTTGTGACCAGAAAAAAAAATCCTGTAAAGTTTGTTCATTTTTTTTTTCATTTTACATTATAATTGGCCAAGTTTTGTTCATGGGTGTATTGGTTGTTTTCACTGCATTTAAAGTGATTGCTATCCCAACAATGCTGCCAGAGTTGAGCAGACAAGATGCCACAATTAGAAACTCCTTGTTGGCCCCCCAATTTCTATCTCTAGTTTGCTGTCTGTCTGTTTCCCAGTCACTCCACTCCCAGTTCTTCCCCAAATACAATGATCTTCCCAGTCTTCCCATTAATTCTACCCACCCAACATTTTCCTAGCAATTCCACTTTTTCCCATAGCCACCTACTCCAGTTCTTGTTTTTGTTTCCTTTATTCTTAACTACTCTTTTCCCAGCCACTCCCGATGTAACATTTCCCTTTGCCTAGCAAGCAATCTAACATTTGGTGTCTCCTCTCTTAATCTGTTCTTTGCTGGGTTCTAATGGAAGTGGTGAGGAGACCCATATGTACACAGCAACTGGAATATATTCCAGGATGTAGTGTACTGTAGCGATTAAGGTGTTAGGAGCTGGAAATCTAGGTTCTAGTCTTCTCTTAGATACACAAAACAGATAGGTGACCTTGAGTGATTTTTTTTTAGCCCTAATCAGTGTTGGGCTCTATGCCAAGTGCCAAGCCATAAGATAAACAAACCTTCTTATTATATCATTCATTACATTTCATTGTAAGAATTAATGAGGGCGGTACAAAAATAAGTATCGTAGACCCTCAACCATTGAGTTAAATGCTAAGAAAAACAATAGTAGCAACAACTTATTGTAAATCAAAGGGTAGACTGAGCTGGCAATCTTGCTTGTTCCACCCCTCCTTTAAGCAAGCTGTCCAATTTTGTTTCTCTCCTAAAAGTGAAGTGATACATGGTCCAATTATTTCTGTGTAATAAATTTTTTGCAAAATTGTTCCAGGGATGAGAAGAAGACTAGCAAGTGAGGTCACTTATACTTGAACATTTCCAAAAGTTACAACATTTTTTTATAGAAGGGTAGGCGCACAATTAGGATTGTGAAGATGTTGCCAAACCTGTATCACTGCTCTGCAGTTAGATTTGTCTTTGTCCTTCCTGATTTACAGAGCTGTTGAATGTAGCTGAAACCACCACTTCTATACTGAATCTTTGCTTTTAAACTTAGATTAAGGAATCAAAATGAAGAAGCCCACACAAAGTGTAAAGAGACATTGTACTGAAGCCTCTAAACATTAGTATGAAAGAGTAATAGCAGAATAGCTATAATTGCTTCCAATTGTAGTGGAAATAGATTATAAAAGAACGGAGAGTGCCTTCCTCACCATCAGGTAATCACAACTGGGTGAACAGGTTAGTACAGTGGTTCTCAACCTGTGGGTCGGGACCCCATTTGGGGTCGAATGATCATTTCACGGGGGTCGCCAAACAACGCAGTCTGTTTTGGTCTAATTTTAGTTTTAAAGATAAAGACAAAACATTTCTTTAAATAACCAAGAAGTGGATTATAAATTTTAAATTCAGGTAAACTTTAACACATGAATCACATCATTCTTTATGGTGAGATACAAATATCTAGCATGTAAAACACCATCTTTTACATGGATTAGTCTGAAATGACTTACCACCTTGTCATAGTTATAGTTGGGGAGATGATGGTAGAATGTGATGAATTATTGGACAAAATTGTAACTTAAGTAAGTACAGAATTATCAGACATCATCTATGAGAATTTTACTGAGATTTTTCTCCTCCTTTGGAAAAAAAAAATCTCAGAGCAAATGCTCTTTCAGGGAATCCCATAGAGCAGTGGTTCTCAACCTTTTTAATGCTGCGACCCCCCAACCGGTCGTAAGTCGAGGACTACTCAACCGGTTGTAAGTCGAGGACTACTCAACTGGTGCAGCACCGTTTGCAGAATGGGACTTTTGGCAGGCTCAGCAGGGCAGAGACAGCCTGGACAATTCCTATTGGCTTTTGAAAGCCAATAGAATTAGACTCTATTCAAGAGAGTCTATTCTATTGGCTTTCAAAAGCCAATAGAATAAAAGGGAGTAGCACAGCTAAGGAAAAGGGGAGAAAAAATAGCAGACTGCGTTGTTTGGCGACCCCCGTGAAATGGTCGTTCGACCCCAAATGGGGTCCTGACCCACAGGTTGAGAACCACTGCCATAGAAGTTCTGAGCTGTATGTTAACAAAAATTACAGATGATTTTCTGAATAGCATGACTTTAATCTTTCTTCCCATTCTTTCCCAGTTCCTCAAATCTGAAATAAATCCTTGGTAAATTTTTATGCATATAAGTTGCTCCGGTGGGCCTACGGCGCTTCATTGACAGGCCTCCCGCCATTTTCAATGTTCTCTCTTTCTCCTTCTCTCTGAGGGCAGCTGATGTCATGGCACTGGAATCTGATGTCACCCTTGAAGGATACAATACGCCCAATGAGACGGAGAAACCCATTATGGCCCACCCCCCTGACGTCTACAGTGACAATACGCTTCAGAATTGGCTGGCGACAGTGCTCAGGTTATCCGATAAAGGCATAATAATTACAAAAGAGACATCCATTGTAATGAATGGGGAAGAGAAATAAAGCTTTCTCAAGAATTTCTTGTTCTTCCCAATAGTGATCAAGCTGGATTTCAAAAACATCAAGACAGTGGGACCATCTCTGGATATCTTAGTAAACACATCTTCTGGGTTGAATATCGACCGACCTATTTGGCTAAATGCAGATATTCTGAAAGGCCCAAATGTTCCTATTGATATTGCAGTTAAATGAACTTCTCTTATATTTGTGTAAAAGTATATTTTACATATTTATTTCCAAGGACCACAGAAAACTGCTTGAAGCCAAGACAAACTACTGGTTCATAGACCTCAGTTCTGTCTATAGTAGCCTTTTTCAATCTGGTGCCTTTTAGAATCTTTAGCTGGGGATAATAAAAGGCATAATCCAAATATCTGGCACCATGTTAAAAAAAAAAGGATTGCTAGTATAGCTTTGAATGGCAATAACTTCTTCAGTATATCATTATATAATGGGATTGAATCTAGGGTTCCTTATCCCTGAGCTATGACGCCTCCTTTCCTGGCACTATATATTAAAGAAAATATTCTTTTATAGAAGGCATTTACTTTTATTGTTGTAGTCCTTGTTAAGATAAGAAACAGAATATTGTGTTTACAGCTGATGAGTAACAAGATAACAAACCTAATCTATGATGAGGTTGTACTAAAGAGCTGAGGAGATTAGCAGATTTAATTAGAAGTTTACATGTGCCAGCATGTACCAGATACTTGGCTGCAACTATCAGAAAGTCACATGAAATTCTCATAAAGCATATGCCAAGTCTGTCTTCCCCAAGTGAAGTGAAGTGTCCCTGCATACTGATAGACTTTTCTATAGTGCTTTCTAGATTTTGGCTAGGAAGATGTCACTTCAAGTCTACACCTTGCCAATAGAAAGTCACTTGGAGCCAAACTGAGTCTCTGGGTATCAATTTCTATTTCAACGGACATATATCAAATTATATCTAGTTCGATATGGAGAAGACTTGTAATGTCTTCTTTTAATGTGTATGGAACTGTGACTATATGGTTGTTACTGATTGCTCCTTAGATTCCTGACTCTCATTCAGGAGAAGTTTCCAAACTGCACTCTTTCCCCGGGATGGACAACCCTCTATTTATCTCACTTTCCAAACAAGACTTATACGCAGAGTATGGTGGAAGAAATGCATTCTCTTGTGGGAAACCTATCTCAGCAAGTCACCTTCCCTGTAAGAGCTGTCATGGTTAAACCAGCCTGGACTCATCTGAGTTGGCTTCTGAGTCAATCGAAAAGGTGAGAGGTTGACAGTACACCCCTATCTTGATGTACTCAAACCAGCCTCCCTCAATCATACGTCATGGGTGTCAAACTCGATTGTGTCACGTAACATATCGTGATGTAATGCAACATTTTTTGCCTTTGCGGAGCTGGAGTAGGCATGTCCTGTGCATGATGCATCCGGCCCATGGGGTGTCAGTTTGACACCCCTGATGTATGTGCTTTATGAGTTATGAAAGAACGGTTCCAAGAATTCTTAGCCAAGGGACCAGGCTGGCTGAGAGTTTTGGAATTGGTGATTCCATCACATCTGGTTTGATAAGTCTCATTCAGAATTGGTTTCTCCCGGATACTTGGAGAAGAATAAAGAATAAATCAGAATTGGCAGAACAAGTCATTATTGCTTTCTCATCTGACTGTAGTTTCCTCATTAAATTATGAGAGAGAGAGAGAGAGAGAGAGAGAGAGAGAGAGAGAGAGAGAGAGAGAGAGAGAGAGAGAGAGAGAGAGAGAGAGAGAGAGATAGAGATAACTATGTAAATTCTGTCTTTGATATCACAGTGTGAGAATCTGTCAAGGCCCAAATACAGTATCTTCTTTTCTAGATATAGTTTGACTTTGTGGCAAGGGAAGACTGATCCAGTCACAGTGGAAGATCTCCTGTTTATTCGAAACAACAGCAAACCTGAACAAATCTATTATGACCTTTATGAACCTATTTTGTCTCAATTCAAAAAATTGGCATGTGAGTATAACAATTGCACTTTATGTGTGTGTGTACATATATATATATATATATATATATATATATATATATATATATATATATATATGCTGGAAAATTTGCATAAAATACGACTCCTGGGCATGTCTATGATACAAATAAAATACGAACACCAGGAGAGTATAAATATAAAAATATACTTTACTAAAAGCTGCCAAGCTTTCGTTTGGAAACTCCAAACATCATCAGGGCTAAGGAGCCAGTAAACAATGATGACTTAAATGGGTTTTGCCTGCATCTGCACCCGGCTCATGGACCGCGTCACCGTCCCGGCCGGTTAATTAGTTTCCAGATGTTTCTTTATTACTCTCCTTACGCTTCCTTCTATGGTTCTTCCGGATCATTCCTTCCACTATCTCATTACTGGTATTCATCTCCTCCACCACCCCTTTATCCTTATTTCCTTCCATAGCACTGACCCTCCTCCCCTTTTTGTTTTCATTCTCCACCCTGGGGGCATCTGTTTCTCCTCTATCAGTGTTACAAGCTTCCCTGGGCTCACCGACGCTCCCCCACACACACGCTTTTCCCAATCCCTGCTCCAGACCCTGTCTTCTCACTCTTCCACTGTCATGAGTAACTTTCATACGGGTGTTACATATTTGGGGGTCTATGCCCTCCTCCTCCGTCCTGGCAATCTTCGTGTCAACAGTTCTCCACCGTTCCATTGTTTGCTGCGTGATCGGGTGCTTACCCCGTCTCTCAATTCATCCCTCCTCCCTATCGCACGCTCTTCCCCATTGCTGATAAGAACGGTATTCAGGCGGACACCAGGTCTCCAGATCTCTGCATTCTGAGTCCCCGCATTCTCACTCCCCTCTTCTGTGCTCGTCTTTGGGGGGACTTCAAAGTGTTCGTCCCGGGAGGGGGAACGCTGCAAGCGTTTAAGATCTCGCTTGCATGAACATCAGTTAGCTATAAGAAGGGGCGAGCAGCATTCTCAATTGTGGATGCATATGGCACAACATGGCCACCAGTTTGACTTTGTGAATGTTTGCATTATGACTGAGGATGCCACTAAGGGAGGCCGGCTATTGAAAGAGGCGTGGTATTCCAACAAAGATGCGGTTAATCGTCACATTGACTTACATCCAGCTCAACAAGCATTGAGGAAATGGGATTTTAAACACCATGCCAATTATTATAAGCGGCCTGAACAATGCTTGCACAGCTGTAAACGTGACGGGATACCTGGCCTCCATCCTGAACAGATAGATGGAACTTTGGCCAACCCTCTACACTCCAGGGACACCCCCGTTTTGCCCGATCAACACCAATACCACTCTAATGAACATCTGAGGAGGCTACCACTGTCAAACACACGTAATCATCCACCGATGGAAGACCTCCCCCTTCCCCAATATCATCATGATAGACCCCCACCCCCAGAACTTAACAACAACTGTGGAGAGTGTGGAAGATCCAGCATGAGGAGCCTGCAGCCTGACGCTGTGGGTAGGGGGGAGAAGAAGAACGAAAGCATGGCTCGAGTGCCTAGGCATACGGTGAAAGGGAGAGACACGGAATTCTGCCTGGATTCCCTGCAGACAAGGAATACCCCCACCAACAATACAGCCCCCTCCCGGGACGAACACTTGAAGTCCCCCCAAAGACGAGCACAGAAGAGGGGAGTGAGAACGCAGGGAATCAGAATGCAGAGATCTGGAGACCTGGTGTCCGCCTGAATACCGTTCCTATCAGCAATGGGGAAGAGCGTGCGATAGGGAGGAGGGATGAATTGAGAGACGGGGTAAGCACCTGATCACGCAGCAAACAAATGGAACGGTGGAGAACTGTTGACACGAAGATTGCCAGGACAGAGGAGGAGGGCATAGACCCCCAAATATGTAACACCCGTATGAAAGTTACTCATGACAGTGGAAGAGTGAGAAGAAAGGGTGTGGAGCAGGGATTGAGAAAAGCGTGTGTGGGGGGGAGCGTCTGTGAGCCCAGGGAAGCTTGTAACACTGATAGAGGAGAAACAGATGCCCCCAGGGTGGAGAATGAAAACAAAAAGGGGAGGAGGGTCAGTGCTATGGAAGGAAATAAGGATAAAGGGGTGGTGGAGGAGATGAATACCAGTAATGAGATAGTGGAAGGAATGATCCGGAAGAACCATAGAAGGAAGCGTAAGGAGAGTAATAAAGAAACATCTGGAACACTAATTAACCGGCCGGGACCGGTGACGCGGTCCATGAGCCGGGTGCAGATGACGGCAAAACCCATTTAAGTCATCATTGTTTACTGGCTCCTTAGCCCTGATGATGTTTGGAGTTTCCAAACGAAAGCTTGGCAGCTTTTAGTAAAGTATAGTTTTATATTTATAGTCTCCTGGTGTTCGTATTTTATTTGTACCATAGACATGCCCAGGAGTCGTATTTTTATGCAAATTTATATATATGAAGCACCAGCCTGAAGATGACGAATGAGACTTCGTCGAAACGTCGCCAAGACACTTCCAATTTTACGTGGGGGAAAACCCGAATAACCAAAGACCTACATACAAACACCTGCAAAAACCTCAGAAAACATATATATATATATATATATATATATATATATATATATATATATATATATATATATATATATATATATATCTGTGTGTGTGTGTGTGTGTGTGTGTATTTCCAGGAATCAAATAAGTGTTTCAAAATATTATTTTTTTACTTTAAGTAATAAGTGATGAAATCAGAATATTTGGGATGACTTCCATGGGCTAATGATTCAGTTACAGAGAAATCGCTTTAACAGGTATGGTTAATTTATTTTGATTTATTTTGGTGTGGTTGGTTTATTTTTCTTTTCTTTTTCTTTTTTACTATAACCTTAAAAGTCTCTCAAACAGAGTCAAGTGCAAAAAGAGGATGGAGAAGCTAAATGAAAAACGTTGGGGGAAAAAATGGAGCCAATTATTAATGTACTGCCAATTTACAACACAGGGAATATTTGACAATTTAAAGTGGACTTTTCAGATTTTGGAAGATCCGGACTGTGTAGAGAACTTTATTATATGGATTCAATTGATACATATCTCACAAATTGTACAAATAAATATGAAGCCTTTGTGAAAAACAGAAAACAGAAACACAGAAAGGAATGAGTCACTTTTTGCATAATTATTCATTCTGGCTCTTGACATTTTCAATACAGCCAAAAGGCAAGATGACAAAATTGTTGGAGTGAAAGTTAAAAAAAAAAAAAAAGGATTTTATAAATTAAAGACATTTGCTGAAAACTTGGCTTTTGAAGAACCCCTTAAAAGGGATTGATGTATTAATGAAAAAATCTTGGATTTTGATGCATTGACTGGACTTAAAGTTAATAAGGAAAAAATAAAGAATATAAAGATGGAAGAGCAAAAAGAATTATCTGTAAAAGCTAGATTTCAGATTCGGGGGAAAAGTGAAGTATTTGGCTATTACTATTACTACCATGACTTTATTTCAAAATAATTATCTTAAGGTATGGAATGAAATTAAATAGAATTTATTAATGTGAGGAAAATGACAATTATTACTGTTGGGAAGAACTTCTGAGGTAAAAATGAACGTGTTAGCTAGAATGTTATTCTTATTTCATACAATTCCTGTTTGAGAACTGATGTGCCATTTGAACAGTGCAAAAGACATATCCAGATTTAGAAGGCAGGATAAAAAACCCAAAGGTTAAATATAAGTTTCTTCAACATACAAAGAAAAGAGGACTAGATTACCGGATTTAAATGGTATTTTCCTGCCTGCAGTTTGGTTTGTATGAAGAGGCTGTTGTTAAGAAAAAAAGAGATTCAGATTTAGAAGATCATGGTCTGAAGTTTGGGTGGCATTATTACTTATGGTGTTGTTGTTATTAATGTAGATTTTAAAAAATCATTATATTAGGGATATAATATTAGGAATATGGAATAGATACAAACCTGGGCTATTCCAGAAAATATCTTTATTGGCCTCAACTCAATAAGTGTTTTATAGATAAGAAACACCTGGCAAAGATAAATGGTTAACATATAAAGACTTCCTAGGACAGGAGAATAGGGAGCTTAAGTTGGAACCAAGAAAACAACTGACTGCACAAGAATTTAGTTTTCAATGGTTCTTATATGCAAATTAAGAGAAAGCTTTAACATAGATAAAAAGACTACCAGTAATATGATGTGATGCAATGGAATTTGAAAATGAATTACATACAAAGGATGAACATGTGATTACTAAAATGTATGCACTTTTGTTGAGATTTGAAAAAGAAGAACAGTAAATTAAAAGAATGTATGTTATAAATGGGCCAAGAATTTTGGTGATAATATTCAGATGGATCAATGGGATAAAGTGTGGTTAAAAGACCTGAAGTTCACATTGTCTTACAACTCGGAACAACACTTTTTAAAAATGGTATATTGTAGGTGCATGATATCAGAGAAATTGTCTAACATGCATAAAAGTGCATCTAATTATTGTTGGAAATGTGAAAAACATAAGGAGCATTTTTATCATACATGATGGACTTGTGAAAAAGCAAAAACTTGATATCCCAAACGGTGCTTTTTTCACGAGGCAATTGGACTTTCTTGTTTTTCTTTGAAGACGTTTCCCTTCTCATCCAAAAAGCTGCTTCAGCTCTGTCTGGATGGTGTCAGAGCTGAAGAAGCTTCTTGGATGAGAAGTGAAACATCTTCAAAGAAAAACAAGAAAATCCAGTTGCCTTGTGAAAAAAGCGCCTTTGGGACAGCTGTGTCTTAGATGACTAAGAATCTCCACAGACAAAAACTTGGTGCAAATATATAAGATAATGCAGAAAGTTCTCAAAATTAACTTTCAGATAAAAGCAGAACTTTTCTGACTAAGATTTATGGACAATCAACTAAAAAAGCTCATGAACAATTGGTTTCATATATAACTGCAATGAGGTTATTATAGGTACAAAGATGGAAGTCTATGGAAACACCAGCAGAGGAGGAATGGAAGGCTGAGTTTGCAGAAATGGCTAAATTGATTTATTTTGATTAAAGAGGGAACTAGAACTACTTTTATAAAAATAATTGGAAAACCTGTATGGATTTTTGGCTGAAGTTGAATAAAAATCTAGTGGTGATTTTGGGATTTATTGATTAAAAAGTATTAAAAAGATTTGTGTTTATAACTGCTAAAAAAAAGATCATAAGTCACTTCTTTAAATGCCTTTTTCTTTCCTTCTCGTTTTCATTCACTTTTTCCTATTACCCTTTCCTTTTTTCTTTTTCTACCTCATCTTTTATGTTTCTGCAGTTTTTAAAATCTTTATAAGATATTCTTTCAATAAAAATAGTTTTGCAGATGATTTGGTATTCATTCTAGAGGAACCTTTAGAGACGATTCCTAAACTGCTAGAAAAGATAGAACAATTTGGAGAGATAGCAGGATTAAAGATAAATAGAGAAAAAACTAAAGTGATAGTTAAAAATTTTACAGATAACCCCAAAAAAAAATTATCAGAAAAAATAGAATTGCAAATAGTCAAAAAGATCAAATATTTGGGAATATATTTGACAGCAAGATGTTCAACAGTAAAAGAAGATAATTACATTAAATTGTTAAACCAAATAAAGCTTAATTTGGAAAAATGGAAGAATCTTCAACTGTCAGTGTTAGGAAGAATTGCTATGGTGAAAATGAATATATTACCAAAAATATTATTTTTATTTCAAGCAATATCTATACAACTGGAGAAAAAATTCTTTGAAGATTTAAACTCTCTAATTCAAAAATTTATCTGGCAAGGAAAGAAGGCTAGAATTAAATTGAAAATGATACAAGAAGCCAAGGGAAATGGAGGCTTTGGCTTGCCAGATTGGGTTTTATATTACCAAGCATCAGTGTTAACATGAATAAAAGAATGAATAACTTTTAAAAATAAAAGATTGCTGTATCTGGAGGGTCATGACCTGCAACTTGGTTGGCATGCTTTTCTATGGTACAGAAAAAATAAAATACATAAATACTTCCAAAACCACTACATTAGAAATGCATTATTATTAACTTGGGAAAAAATAAAATATAAAATTTATTTGAAAATTCCAGGATGGCTTTCAACAAACATTCGTACATCCAAATCTAGTCAGTCTTGATAAAATATAGACATACAAAGATATTCTAAATTCTGAAGGGAACTTAAAATCCAGGCAAGAGATGGAAAATCAGGGCATCGATTTAACATGGTGGTCACATTTACAAATGCAAGTTAGATATGATAAAGTAAAAATATTAAACAGTATGGATTTTACAAAGAACAGACTATGTTTGATCAGACATTATTAACTTCTGATGAAAAGTTAATCAAAAAAATGTACAATTTCTTATTAAATTTCAAAATGAAAGATGAACAAGTAAAAGAGACAATGATAGTATGGGCAAAGAATTTTGGATATAATATAGACTTAGAAAAGTGGCAAAGTTTGTGGGAAAGAAACTATAAACTGACAATGTCAGCTTCATATAAAGAAAACTTATATAAAATGTTTTATAGATGGCATTTGCAAAAATGTTTAAAAACATGTCAGAGAAATGTTGGAAATGTAAACATAAACCAGGTACTTATTATCATATGTGGTGAACATGTGTTAAAGCAAGGAGATATTGGACAATAATCCACATTTGGTTAGAAAAAATGTTAGAGAAACACATAGATTATAAACCTGATTTTTTTTTACTACATATAATGCCAGAAAAACTTGATAAGCAAAGTACATATTTGATCCTACATGTGATAACAGTAGCAAGAATTATATTTGCACAATATTGGAAGAATGAAGAAATACCACCAGAAGAAGAAATAATCAAAAAAATATTAGACTGTACAGAAATGGACACACTTACTTTAAGGTTGAAAGAAAAAGAAGAAACAGAATATTTTCAAACTTGGGACCTATTTTATCAATGGTTAGAGAAAAGATTTAGGGATTAGGAATTTACCATGTATTCCGGTGTATAGGGCGACACGCCGTATAAGATGAGCCCCAACTTCGACGCTGAGTCGCAAGACGATCAACGCCGAGTCGCATGCCTAGAAAGTCGTCTTATACACCGGAAACTACTGTTATTTCCGGCGTATAAGACAACTCGGCATATAAGACGACCCCCGAGTTCGGCTCCTATTTCAACGCTCTCAAAAGTTGTCTTATACGCCGGAAAGTACGGTAATTTGTATTAGTGAATAAGATACTCAGATAACACATTTTGGTTGAATAATTATTATTGAACTTTGTTAAAATAATAATAATAAAACTTAAATATATATATAAAAGGGTGGGGAAAAAACCTCACATGGAATGGGAAATTGTAGAGATTTTTAGTATTTTAGTTACCAAAGATTAGAAGACCATGCCACACTTTAAACCTGGTTACACAAAGACCCGGTGAAAGGTAATACACTTCTAAGTAGCAGCTTTGCCATTTCGGTAGTGTAGTGCAAATCTATCAGCAGACTGCAATTTATTTTCTGACTACAAGTTTTACATAAGCATTCTGTTAGTTTCCAATTGTTAAGTAGGATAACACTACACGTAAAGAGGACATAAAGAACTTAAGCAGTGCTGGTGAATGTTTAAACTTCCCATTAAGAGTTCTTAAGAGTAATTTTTAGGAGAGTAGATTTGTTCACCCAGTCAACATCAGAACAAAAAGCCCATCTGACTTTTGTTTAGAAACTCATTCATACCCCTAGTGACTCTAGAAACATCCAGATCTGTTTAAAATTACACAGGATGATGTAATCTGATAGTTAAGAGCAACAGCCCAAAAAATCCACTTCAAGACATGACTTAGCTATGACCTTATTATACAGCCATAAGCCAAAGAGTCATAAGATCAGTATTCATTTACAAGATGGGAAAAATACCAGCACTATTTCTGAGTCTCCCTAACGTCACCTATGCAACCACTGTGATGGGTTTTATAAAAAGTACTAACAGTGCATCTTGGAACTGGGCAGATAATTTTGGGCATGCCGATTCAGATTTTTCAAGACTATTGAACCGAACGGCATCAAGGCTGAGTCATCCAACCGACTAGAGAGGTGGAAATGAAGTTCAGATTCTAAAGCCTCAGAGACTGTTTCTTATTTTCAAGCTCTTGTAATATCAGAGCAAGTGAGCTAATGGCAAGCAAAGGGATTTGGAAGCATTTTGAAAGCTTGGGCATTCTCAAACACAAGTGGATGTTCGGAGCCCACTCCTATCCAATTTGCCGTATGTTTAAGAAAACTTTGGAGATTCACAAGAAACCCATCCTGCAAGCAGTTGGGTTGTGTATACATATATGTAAATATGAGTTGATACAGAAGGCAGCAGATCATCTGAGCTGCTTCACCCAATTGCACTGGTTGGTGGTAGGCTTCACAGTGCAGAGAGAAGTGCTGCTATTAATCTTTACAGTCATATGTGGAATAAGTCCAGGAAACTCTCTTTGAGGGAGACGGAAAATCCAGAAATGTGAAAAACAAACAAACAAATAAACACACACACACACATACATACATACATACACACACACACATACTTCCTCTAAAGAGACAAGCACCATCTTGTTTGTGCAGCTTTGGAGGGGATGTCATAGGTCTCTCATCTTTGAAAGTTTAAGAAAATGAAAAGTCAGAAGCAGAATAGCCATAGCAATAGCACTTAGAGTTATATACTGCTGCAGTGCTTTACAGCACTCTCTGAGCAGTTTAAAATGTCAGCATATTGACCCCAATGGGTCCCCATTTTACCGACCTCAAAAGGAGGGAAGGCTGAATCGCTCAGAATTGAACTCCTGACTGTGGGCAGAGTTTTTTTGCAATACTGCATTCTAACCAATGTCCCACCTTAAAGGATGGTCCTAGTCCTCTGGAATAATTGTACTCACAAGATGGCCCCTGCTGTTAGCATTTCAGAATGTGGTGAAGCATTGACCAGCTTTTATAGCTTGAACTATCTGGAGTATAAAGTTATTTTAAAACTAAGTTTTAAACTATGATTTATGTTTTTAGACAGTAATGTAAGAGGCAGAGCTTGTTGTAAGTGATAGAAATGAATAAATAAAAATTTAAAATAATTGCTAGATTTTAGTTAAATTTAATAAAAGCCAGCCAATTATCTGCACAAATTATCTATAATAAATTTTTATATCACTTTACAGCTCCAAAGATGTAGAAAAAAGCAGAGAAAATAGGGTCTGTCTTTGCAACACAGCCCTAATAGTGGTAATTTTTCTTGTCTATTACCCAAATCTCAATGACTCTGTGGACGGTCCAGAATAATTAGCCACTTTATTGATTACCCAGTTCATTAATCAAATCACTCCATAAATTAAATGTAAAAATAAAGTGTAAAATTCCATTGTTTTGAGGAAGACCATGATTCTTCCCCCTCGCTTCTACACACACACACACACACACACACACACACACACACAGAGTAGGTTTGTTAAACACTATCTCTAAAAGATGCTTTAAAGCACACAGAAGCATGAAGGTAACACCTCTTTGTAACACCTTCATCACATCATTTTTTCATACTTTCCATTAGAGTAACTCCACACCTCCCTGTGGCTGTCTGCAACATGATTCTTCTCACTGTATTTCAAAATGCCTCCATATCTTCTTTCTTTACATCCACTTTGCATTAATTATCTTGGAGGATTAATTTATCTTGCAGTAGTTTTTCATACACGGCTTCTATTTCCATTTTAGTTTCTCTCACATATTTCTTTTTCTTACCTACTCATTTTTCCCCACAAAACTATCCTGGATTCCTGGAACTATCCGATTATAACTTCTCCCACATTCAGAGCTTATCATACTTTTAAACCTTCACTGATTCTTTTACTATTTCATTATAGATAAGTTATCAATTCTGCCTTTTGATTAATTTCTTCTTCAGGTGCACATATGAAAAGAGTGTACCTAGGCTTAAGCCATGTTTTAGAAATGTCAAAAATAGTCACCATTCACATTCATCCATCTCCAAATAACTGAACTGTTTCTTCTGTGCTTTCTCAACAAGTTCCTCTTTATTCCCCCTAACACAGTGATGGCGAACCTTTTAGAGACCGAGTGCCCCAAAAGTGGCCCCACCCCTGCCCCTGCCCCACCCTGCCTGCCTGCCCGCAGGGCCACTCACCGCCTCCAAGGCCCGCTGCAGATTGCCCAGGCAGCCCAGCAGTGCCACAGCGGCCACGTCCTCTGCCAACGCCCTGCAGCATCAACTATGCCCGTTGCGGCGTGAGGGCAGAGTCTTGTCTACGCTGCCTGGTTGCCATGTCCTTGGCTGCGCTGCTCCACGTGGGCCACCCTCAGGGGCGACTCTCCTCCAGGGAGGCTGCTGGTGAGGAGGGGGTCGCAGTGGAGGCAAGGCTGGGGCAACAGCATGTATGCCCACAGAGAGGGCTCCGAGTGCCACCTCTGGCACCCGTGCCCTAGGTTCACCACTGCCCTAA